GGGGATCCAATTCAGGTCCTCAGCAAAGGCCTTTACCTGTTGAACCACCTCACTGGCCCATTTATAAATAAAATCAGTACAAAAGACAGTTTATGAAAAACTAACTATAATTTGCCAAACAAAATATTTTGTGACAAGAGGCCCATTGCTCTGCATTTGAACAAATCTCTGTAATATCCGGCTCAGTGCAGCACAACTACATTCATCGATGATCCTGTGCTCCAACTATCATGCATTGCTTTGGTTGAAGATGTACATGGACACAGGCTGAGGGTGAGAATCAGTGGTAAAGTACTTTTATAGGATGCATGAGATCCCAGATTTAATCCCCAACACTGGCTCCTCCCCTCTCCCTCAAACTGTTTTTAAAAGAAGGAAAGAGGGGGCTGGAAAGATGGTTCAGTGGTTAAAGGCTCTTTCAGAGGATCCAGCTTTGGTTCCCAGCACCCATATTGGGCAGCTCAAAACATCTGTTTACTCCAGATCCAGAGGATCTAGCACCCTCTTCGAGCCTCCATAGGCATTGCATGCACATGCACACACCCACACATATACAAAGATCTTTAAAAATATATAAAAAATAAATCTAAAAAAGCAAAGAAAATAGATATGCATAGGAAAATCCAGCCTACCAGACATATAGTTAAAAGATGGAAAAATCTATTAATAATCTTTTGAGTAGTTGTATCATTCTTTATATTACACTAAAACTCAGTGAGTGGTAGTTTCTTAAAAGCTACTTGTAGTGTGGAATCTGAAACCATATCAATGAACTTTTCCTACTCTTGTGCATTAAAATCCATTGATCTGTTTTACACTTGGAGTAAAAGTGTAATGCTTTTACTCAAGCATTGAGCACGTGGAAAATGTTGGTTAAATGAGCTATGTGGAGCTTTCAAAATGTTGACACTACTTCAAAAAAGTCACATTTACTAATGTCACCATGGATCTCATAAAAATGTTACGAAGCTGTTAAATTCATGGTAATACACATAAGTTATGCAAATTTTCACTTGTAAGTACAAATATTGCCATTGCCCAAACAAGTAGTTTTGTATTGTTTTCCTTGAAATTACAGGCTTACTTCATTTTATTTTTTTTTTAAGATTTTGGGGCTGGAAAGATGACTCAGTGGTTAAGAGCACTGGCTGCTCTTGCAGAGGACCCCGGTTAAGTTCTCAGCACCCACATGGTGGCTAACAATGGTCCATAACTCCAGTTCCAGGGGGTCCAATGCTCACTTCTGTCTTCCACTGGCATTGCACACGTGGGTGCACTTATATACATCCATGAAAAACACACTGAAAAATTGTAAAACGATTTTATTTATTTTACTTTATTTTATGTGCATGAGTGTTTTTCCTGCATGTATATAAGTAAACTACTTGTATGCAATGCCCATGGAGGCCAGAATAGGGCATCGGAGTCCCTGGAACTGGAGTTAAGGACAGTTGTTGGCTGCCATGTAGGTGTTGGGAGCCTAACCTGGGTCCTCTGCAAGAACAGCCAGTGCTCTTAACTACTACCTCTCCAGGCCCCCATTTTTTTTTTAAATACTCAAGTCTGAGTTTATCTGCCAGTCAGCCTTCCAAGTACAGATAATGTCCCATGAAAAAGATGATGATTTCAAACAATGTCATGAGTGATTTTCCTCCAGACAACTGATGTACCCTCAGCATGAGGCAGGAGGGATTTCTGTACCTACCGCCTTGTCACAAGGAATACTTGAAAGCTTTGTCTCAAGGGTTCAGAGTTACTAAAACTAGTAACTTTTACTGCTCCAGCAAGGACATCCTCAAATGAACCTTTCGTTTTGCTTTCTCTGAGTGTATGTGGTAAAGAATAGAATGATCAATCAGAATTGTGGTGTCCCTGGTTTGATTGGTGTAAGGATTTTACCAATTACTGTCTTGACATCATTAGTGCAAATGCCCACATGGAGAAAAGGGTAAATAACATCTTAGTATTATCATTAAAATTGTTTTTAATGTATTATTATTATTGTGTGTGCATGTGCGTGTGTGTGTGTGCACATGCGTGTGTGCATGCGCTGGGCACACATAGGAAGTCAGAGGGTAATTTGCTGGAGTTGGTTCACTCCTTCTACCAAAAGGTTTCAGAGATAGAACTTAGATTGACAGGCTTGACAGCAAATCTCTTTACCTGCTGAGCCATCTTACTAGCCCATATTATGAAAATAGTTTTGACCTCACAGACAGACCCCTCTGCAGATCATACACAGTATTCTAGGAGATGTGCTCCTCTGTCTACCCACCTTTAGCAATTCTTGGGTTTAAGTGGAGTTTACACCTGTGAGCCAGCACTTAGGAAAACATCTTAGAATGCACAATTTTGAATAAAAATCTATTTAACTCTCACATTTGACAGATGATGGAGATGGGGGTGGAGAGAGTATTATGATTATTAAGAAATATATGGTCTTAAAAGCCTAGTGAATCAAATATGATAGTTCAGCCTGATGCTATGGTGAGCAATAACTAATGGTTCATGGGTAGGTACAAATTTGTTTATTAAATTTTGACTTTTGAAATTTATTGTAGTAATCTCCAGTATTTATCACGCTAGTATTTTAAATTAGTCAAACATTAAAATGGGTTTGTGTTCTTGAGTGCTCAGTAATTAAGGAGAAGATGCAAATGATTTTGAAGAGAACTGTGTATTGCAGAGATACCAAGTTTTTTAAGCAGAACACACTTTATGCTTATTTCCATTTCCTACTGTTATATACTACTTCAAATAATTTTTTAGATAGAGGTGGAGGTATAAATACATTCAATTAAAATACTTTTGGCTAAAAACACCTATATAATTAAAAGTTGACAGCATTTGCCTACATGCCTTTAAAAGGTCGCAGGAAATGTTCTCTGGTTTGAGGCAAGGCCTAAAGCGTGTTTTCAATTTCAGTATACCAAACATTGTGGAGTCATCGCAATTCTGGGAAAGGTGCTGTGTGTCTATGCAGAATAATACTCCTAACAACCTAGCAAAGCTTCTGAGAGAGTGATGGAGGGGTGTCCTGATCACTGTGTTAACCCCTTGTCAGGTATAAAGAGCCCACAGACCCAGGGCAATGGTCCACTAGGAACAGATGAACTTTATCATTCACACATGAATTTCAAGCCTAATGCATAGACAAAGCCATGGCAAGCTGAATTTGATGAGTTGATAGTATTTCAAGTTATAGTACAAGGAAACTTAAGTACCAGATTTTTTTTTTTTTTTAAACCCAGCATACTTAGAATAGGTTTAAGGATGATGGTCTATTTTAAACTTAACTGTTTTAGATTGAATTCATTGAATTGAGCAGGTGTTTAAACCTTGCTTCAGAAAGCATGACAACATTGGGATCCTGGATCTGTTTAGTGGGCACTGGTAGAGGGGGTTGCCCTGAGAGTTCATTATCAGAGAAATCCACGTTTTGGGACACAGTACTTTTTAAGTTTCCTTAATAAAGGTGAACAATATTCGGCCTTACTGCTGTTTTTAACGGGGTTCACCTGAACTTAGCCCCCATGTCTCTCTTTAACATCACTGGAGACTTACAAGGTAGAACTTCGATGACTCAGTTATTCATGTCAACCTATAGCATGTCACTCTCCTGTTCTGTGTCTCCATCAGGCCTCCACCTTCTTTGATGAAAATGTCTATTTAAAAATTGGTAGGAAAATATTTAACATTTAACATAATAAGATGATGAGTCAGTTTTTTAAAAGCTCAAAAGGGAAGATGTAGTTAAATAATGCACTTTTTAATTTTTTAGGTCTGACTCATGACATATAATATATTCCATCAAGTTCAAAGTTTCCTCTTACAAAGAGTTTTATGAAACAACTCTTCTTCAGACTAATTTTTTACTTCAATTATAGTAGCAGATTTTGGAGTTTAAATCATTAACAACCTCGGAGTGAACTTCTATACAAATGACTTGCCGTCACAAAGGGAACAGTCCTTTTTCACAGCATCTTTCTTTGTAAGGTGACCCATCTTTTTCTGTTTTTCCTCTTTATGTGTCTCTTTGAAGAAAGATATGTGATTTGTAAAGTAATGAAAGTATATCAGCTAACGAAAACTGCTACAGTGGGCTCATGCTGTAGTACACTGGAATTGCTTTGGCTAACTTCAGCTACCTGAAATGAAGGAGGGGAAAAAGTCAATTTCAGAAGCCAAGATTGCTGTGCGAGTATCATATAGCAGTTAAGTCGACCATCAGGGGGCCCTAATCTTGTCCCCCCCCCCCACACTTCTCAAGGACCTGTAATTTTCGTTTAGGCAGCATTTTTCAAGTGTTAACTCCACCGGACCCTCCAAAACTGGGCATTCATTCTGTCCAACTACTGATCTCGCCATATGTTATCTTTTAAATTTTAAAAAAAGATTTATTTCCATTGGAATGTTTTGGGAGAGTGTGTGAGAGTCTGTAACCTCCAGACTGAAGGTGATGGAGTGACTCTCCCAGTGACGAAAGCCTGAATAATTTCATACAGAACCAAGTATAGTTTAATAAACAAAAGAAAGTGGCTAAAGCAACCTATTTCCCTTTAAAAAAAAAATCCGTAAAATAATGATCGAATCGTTGTTTCAGGAGCGGAGAAAAACTTTTTCACCCCCCCCAATGGAGGACTAGCGGGATAAATTCGAAGTCTAGCCCACCCCCGCACGCGCGCCCCCCATTCCTTCCAGACAGAGTGGTTGTAAATGCGAGGCTGAGTCCGCCCTGAGCGCCTTAGGGCACCTTCCTCTTTGCAGCGTGTGTGTGTGTGTGTGTGTGTGTGTGTGTGTGTATGTGTGTATGTGTGTGTGTGTGTGTGTGTCTAGCTCTCGCTCTTTCCCTCAGTCTGTGGCTCTGTGTGCGTGTGTGTGTGACAGCGAGAGAGCGAGAGAGAGAGCGAGAGAGAGAGCGAGAGAGAGAGAGAGAGAG